CCAAGTTCCCATTGTTATGTTGTTTATTGTACCGTGTATTAACTAGTACACTACAGCTACTGACTTTTATACAATCCAAAGGTGAACGTAGTTGTTCTTTTTTTTTCCACATAATTTGCTTGTTGTTTTTTAACTCGGGTTACATTTTAAATGTAACATTCAGAGGGGGACAGAGACTGAAACAGACGAGGAAGACTGAAGGTTCCCTGATACACCACCAGCATTCAAATCAGTACAAAACTGAAAACACATTGGAAACGCATTGTCTGTACATGGACAGCTCTCCCTCATTGCTTTGTACAAAATGACAATGAAAAGGAGATACTGAAAAGGGCTAATGTCCTGAAGCCATGGACATTTTGGGATATGCAAAACCATTGCCGCATTAACAGCTAGTATTCCTGGATATAAACCAGGGACACATATTTGAAAATTCTACTGCATTTCTTCTCAGGTTTAACTGGCTGCTTTATTTACACTCTGAAATGGAGGCCTGAAACTACGGTGCGATATACCTTACACTGGACTGAGGGACTTGACAAGCAAAGGTTTGGGAGATAAGACAAATATCCCCCTTAACTCATGCGACTGATGGAACACTCTGCCACTATGGGTTAGTAATCTTTCCTCCACGGTTTGGTTTTGCCTTCACTATTTTCTGCCATCCCCATATCTCAGGGGTTCCAGGTCCTTGAGGCCCATGCACCTGCTGGCTTTCAGTCCAGCTGAGCTTAATTATGTAACTGAACTATCAAGTTGCTTGATTGGAATACATGCACTTTTTGTTTTTGCTCAGACGTTTGGGATTCTGTGTTACTTATAGTGCTACTGTCCTAACACGTTTAAGAGCTGAAAACAATCAAACAGTTCAAATTAGTGCTGGGTTCAATCCCGGGCCCGGGGAGCTATCTGTGTGGAGTTTGTATGTTCTCTTGTTCACATGCATTTTCACTGGGAGCTCTGGTTTCCTCCCAAAGTCCAAAGGCATGCTGGTAGGTTGACTTCTGGGAAACCTGGCCCGGGTGTGAGTGTGTGCATGTTTGTGTCTGCCTGCTCTGTGATAGACTGGCATCCTGTCCAGGGTGTATCCTGCCTTGTGCCCTGCTGGGATAGGCTCTGTCTCCCCTGCGACCCTCAATTGGATGAAGTGCTTAGCAAATTGAAAAAAAATTGAATTAAATCAATTGAGGGTTTAACTGTGTACAGTAAGGAAGAGATTGGTTTGAGTTTACGGGCTCCCAGGACAGGAATAAGAACCCCTGCCATCACTGCTGCTACAGCAGGTCCCTATCTCTCTCTTGCTCCACATGGGGGGGGTTGGTTAATACCTGATGCTCATTGGCCAAGCTGTCGTGCGTCATTCCGGTGGATTAATGCCAAAGAACACAGGAATCCCTTTGCTTAACTAAGCAAAGGCACTTAGTTGTGGGTGTTGTCTGTCTCTAGAAATACTAAAAAAAAAAACTATTTTAATTGTATGAAACCAAAGCTAAGAAGCTGTGTTTTTAAGGTACCCAGTAAAGGGCTTAATTTAGGACCTTTATTTTACACATTTTATTAAGGAATACTGAATTTATGAATTTTCCATGGGCTATTTTCAAAACATGGAAGTCGCATGATGTTCTGCTTATCTTCAAACTCAGTGATTGCTAGACAAATAAATACATAAATAAATAAATATATTCCAAATGGTACACTTTGGTAAAATGATAGTTACACACCAAGGAGTGTGGTCCATCTTCATTTTCCATAACAACTATTCACAAGAAGTATTTGGAGGAAACATACAGTACACAATATCCAGCAGGATCCACAGTACTCCAAGTGAGACAGACCATGACATTGGGGTCATTCCTGGCAAACAATATCAAACGTCATTCAATAAATAATATGATAAAAATAATAATAATAATAATAATAAAATAAATAGCTGTGCACTTTTAAAAAGAGGATCTGAAGTTAGAAAAGCGCTGCAAACATCAATAAAAAGTTAGATCTCCCACAGAATGAATGCTAGACGCTTGACTTCTTAGTCGCAAACTTCTGGGTTGCAACATGCTAAGTATTCACAAAAGATAAACCTCTTAAATAATATGGTATATACAGTGCATAGTTTACAGTCGGAATACAGCATTCGAACTGTAAAAACCTCCAAACATACATCATACATGTATAAATAAATACATCATACACGGAAAATAAACCCGCTCATTATCATCAACATAGTCATCGTCGTTGTCATCATCATCATCATCATCACTTTACTCCATTTTGCATCATCAGTATCAAGTAAGCAGATTTGCTTTTTTTGTTTCTTGTTTCTGTTTGTTCTGTTTGGAAACATAAAAACTGGTCATTAAAAAAATGAAGTCAATGACAGTCTGTGACCTGTTTTTTTTTGTGTTGCGGATGTCATTTGTTGCTTCTCTTTTTAGTCCTCAAAACACTCCCACTTGGAAGTAAACCAATTTGTTTTTGGTTCCTCTTGCTACATGGAAGAATTTCTGTGGAAGAGGGCAGTGCCTCCTTTCTAACTAGTTGAGACTTTGAGGAGAGAGAGCACCGTGCTGGGCCTGCGTCCTGGAAAATTTGAACAGCACATAAATTAAACAAAAGAAAAAAAAAAGTCAAAGTCATTGCGACAGGAGGATGAAAGCTCAGTGGAGCCAGAGCTTGAAAAAACCCGAATGAACCCTGGTGTTTCAACACCCATCCACCCTGATTGCGATCAAGCTCTTCATCTGATACAGGCCTGAAAGAGACATTGCTCATATTTGCTCTCAAGAATGAGAACAGCAGCATGTTGCTCCAGTTTTGTTATAAAGGCAACAACCCTGTGTTTTGTTCCTTAGGCTCCTTAAAGAGTTGCTCGATCTGAATACGAGAGAACTCCCCAGTCTACTTCCTTCCAACAGGTTAGCCTGACAGTTGAATGCCACAGCCTGTAAGTCTACTGCACTGCCCCCTTTTTTTCTCTTTGTTGATTCTGGCTCTTAAGAAAAAGGATGACGAGGGAATAGGAGAGGAAGAACACATTGACACAATTTTTTTTAACCGGAGAATTCCGTAGGGAAAAAAAAAATAATTAAAAAAAAACAAGTCTTGTAGGTACTTTGCAAAGCTGCTGGGCGGTGTTTGAACGAGATAGGGTGGGGTGAGGATTTTAATTCCATCGAGTCTTCGGCTGCCATGTCTCCTGGTTCGAGCCCGAGTTGACCCCTTCAGGAGTTCCAGCACACGCTTCTTTGACATTGTTCTGAGAATTTAACCCCTCGCAGCTCTCCATCCTTGGCAGAGTCACTTTTTTGTGACTGCAGCTGCACGACGATGTAACTGTTTACCTACTCTCCGGCCACATGTACAGAGAGAAGTTCAGACAGGCGCACAAGCTTGCTGGCTTTTTTCAACAGTCCTTGTTCATTTACATTGGAGTTTTTTTGTCTAGTGACCCAGTAATTGTGTTTTTAATTTTCTTTGCAACCAATAATTATTTTTTTCCCACAAAGTCACAAAATACAGGGCAATACGTGTTCATTCTATGTGCTACAAGTTGATTTTTAGATACATTAACGTATAAAAAATAGGTGTGGAAATATTTTAAATATAGTATAACACTAAGGTTGGCTTTTTTTTGTGTGATGGCTGGTTAGTGTTACCTCATACACTCTGCAAACTGAGGGACCTTTACAATCTTTAGGTTGAAAGTCATAAGCACTTCCAGGTAAAAACAATCAGAAAATTAATTTTACAGCTTTGTGAATAACTAACATTCTGAGTTAAGTATAAACGTAACTCTCCATTGCTTCAAACCCTTGACAGACCTACAACTTATGCACATGCATGGGAATGTACATGCATGTGCACAAGGCTAAAATAACCAGGTACACAGTGTTAAATGCTCAGCTTGTGTAGTTGTATGCCAGTTGCCATAGTACAGAAGGCAAACATACTAATGTTGGATTCATAGCATTAATTTTCTTATGTTTCCCAGTGTTCCCATTATGTTATCCTCTTTTACACAGTCTGTTTAAATATGTTGATGACTTCCAAACTTGTCTACAATAAAAAACAAAAACAGACAAAATGTCCCAACATGCATTTCTGAAAAACAAAATAGCAGGTTGCAATAATCACTTCTAAGATTAATTAATCTTACCTACCATAACTCCAAATGCTTGAAATCTTATGAACACTCTGGGGTTAAAAATATAACAGACTTCTTACTTCTGTGTGGTTCGCTAACAGGGGAAAGGGACCCTAACTGTTAGGGTTGAAAACAGACTCTGTGATTTTATAAAAAAAATGATTTTTTTCTGTGATTGAGTGGACCTGAATAGCATCTGCCTGTGGATAATATAACACAGTCCAGCACATCACACTTCCTAGCAGAGTTCTGGGATAGCTGACTACCTGCTGTTTGAAAACCACTGGTGTTATTCACTTCTGTAGACGCCCAGAACACGCTGAGCAAGCTCTTCTATCCACTCATTGTTAGCCAGTTTAAATCAAATTATTCAGCTAAAATAAAGTTATTACATTTTATTTTAAACCATAATAAAGAATAAATGTATCCAATGTAATGCAGTGTCGGACTGAAATGCTTTTTGGGAGGCCCAGTTCACAGGACATACTACTGTACAATCACCAGTGTGCGGACCCAGAATAAAGCAAACCCCGTACCTCCGGGTTTGTTCAGGGGACCCCGTCGGGAGCACCTGCCCCGCGTGAAATTGAGAGAGAGCGGCCGGTGGGGGGAGGGATCCTCGGAGAACCCAGGGACTGACCCGTGGGCTGGACTGCCGCTGGGGCTGCCCGAGCCTCCTGCCTAGGGATGGCCTCCCTAGAACCCGTGGCTCTCCGAGCTGCTCCGGCTGGAGCAGCTGTGGTTCCGGCTCGGGCTCCTCGACCTGCTCCGGCTGCGGCTGGGAGTCCGGCTGCGGCTGTAGCTGCTGTAGCTGCTGTAGCTGCGGCTCCGGCTCCGAGTGGAGGTGGAGTAACTGCTCAGGGAGCTGGGCGAGGAGGGGCTGGGCCTGTAGTAAGGGATGGGCCTTTTGCGAGCGCTGGAGAGCAGAATGAAAAAC